CACTCACTGATTCAAAGCTTATCATTGGCTAATGATAAAGTACTAATTATGGGCCCTCTTATGCCCTCCACTTTAAAAAAATCCTCGAATCTCTCCCTCCTGCTCCTGACTATCACCAAAGGCCTCAAATTCACCCCATTTATTTATTTACGCGGGCAGCGGGGAGATGTACTCCGAAACTCCGCAGTCGGGAGACGGGCCAGTTACCGTGGCAACAGTGAGCTCAGGCCCGCCCCGTTTAGCCGGGCCTGCCAATCAGACCAAAAATAAAACCAACGGAGGAAGAAAAAAAAAGTTTTAAAGACGTGTCTCGCTGTTTTCTCTCTCCCCAAGGCTTACAGTGTTTGGTTCAGAGGGAGTGTGTGCATAATTCAAACATAAATTATAAATCACCCCGGCACAATGATTTGTGACGCTGTTTCTATCCTACCCTCCATGCATGGGTGCTCTCTTTGCGCTGGGGGGCCAACGGCAACTGAGCATACACAGCCAGACCCCCCTCACCCAAAAAAAAAATAAAAATACCAGCGGAATTCTTGTTCCCTCCCCTCCATCAGGGGGCGCTGTCCTGCTCCTTGCTCTCATTGTCACTCCCGTAAAGCTGCCACTTTGCTGAACTTTGACCTTTGAAGCTCTCATTCCATAAATCCCCGCTAAGGGCTCTGAGCCGACTCTGTAACGAAGGTCAATTGAAAAAGCAATGTTACGCACAGTGAACCATTCTTAAGGAAATGTACTGCAACGGTGACTTAGACGGTGGGTAAATTAAGGAGGGATCTTGGTGGGGGGGGGGAAGCGTATTATTTATGTATTGCAAGGTAGCCCGAAGGGAATGTGCAAAAGTATTGAGGGACTCCATAAATTCAAGCCACTTAAGCGGGAGTGTGGCCACGAGGCAGACAGTAGGGCTCATTTTGTGGCTATAAAGAACAGCACTCGCAAATGAAATATTTAAGGAAGATGCGGATTTATCATTTATCTTTCAGTACAGCAGTGTTTCGCTTGTCAACCTGGTCCACTTTTTCGCTCCCTCCTGAAGGATCAATCTGAGAAACACTGCAGTAGAGGATAGAGGTGATGTGCTATAAACATTAAAGCAACATTAGCCGACAACAAACCTGTCCAGCAATAAGGTTGACTGAAGGCAATTATAGTCAACAAAAACAAGGATAAGGCTTGTTTGATAATGTGCATCATCGTCATCATCATCATCATCATCATCATCGTCGCCGTCTTCTTAGGAATGCCTATCAAAGGTCATTAAGGTGGCATTACATATTAAACACATGTATGCCACTAGGTCAGTAAACCGTATCACAGGACCACTGACCCTAAATGCCTTCCTGATGCTTCTCTCTGGTCTAATACTGGGTGAACATAAACAGTATCGCCCCCCCCCCCCCACTCCCCCAGCATTGTTCACTCATGCTTTCATGGCCATGTCTAGCAGTAGAATTGAAATAGGATTGATCATGAAGCATCAGTGTTGGAGTGACCAGCTTGGGTTTGCAAGGCTGGGGGGCGTGGCTTTCACATGTGGGGGCGGGGCTTCACACTGGAGGCGGGGCTTGGATACGCCTCAAATGCCCCGAGTAACATGTCACTGCTGACTGTCCTAGCTAGAGGTGGCTTACACTTTGCACTTGAATAATTAATTGACACTCATGTCCTGAACATACAAATTGCAGTGCTCATGTCCTGCCTGCTCCTCATCAAGAGGATGTGGCAAACATAGCAAAGGATTTTTTTTTCTCTCTTTTTCAACAGCCTGTGTTCTGAATGGGAGACTGCTATCAAGGAATCTTCCATAATTTTGTGGACTTGGCGGTAGTTTGCTGTACCACCACTCAAACTATGCATTTACGTCGGGCCCCTGAGATCTGGGGGGAGGGGCAAAAAACAACAAACCTTCCTTAATGCCTTAATGCATCTGCGTAATGCACCCCTTTTGCACAGCTTTTCCAATACCCTACTCCCATGTAATTTTCCCATGTGATTCCTCTGAGCTAAGGCTGAAATTACTGTCCCTTCATTACCTTCCCACTCAGCCCCCTTAAAGCACATCCCCTTGCACATCCCCGCGTCACGTGGGAAATGTGTAATTCCAATTTTCAGACTTTCGTCAATATGCACAAGCCGTGACATGAACCGCATTAAGGTGAAACTCCCCCAATAATTTCCCGCAAATAACCAGAGCCACCAGATTCCCGTCCAGGAAGCGAGCTTCTGTCTCTCTGCACGTTCCCAGTATCTTAATCCAGCTCAAAAAGCCACCAGTGTACGAGTCACCCACACAACATGGGCTCCCCTATGCCGCCGCCCTGTCACTTTCCCTGACCGACCCCCTGCTCACAGTGTGTTTACTTCCCCTCTGCTGAAATGAACACCTTCTTCTGTCTGGGGGCTCCTTCATACAGGTCACTGGGCCACGAGCTGCCAGCTTGTGACAGAAATAGGACGGGGAAGAGCTTTAATCACCGGGACCCTTTAAGGTCTCGACTCCCCTCTGACAAATACTCTCACGGATGCATGTTAATCCCGTCGCAAAACAGCCTGACACCTTTTCTCATATTTCTCATTATTTTGAAAAACCGTGTTCTGCTTTATTTAAAAAAAAAAAAAATTCTTGTCAAATCGTTTAGTCAGGCCTGGCTTGTGGGTGCAGGCAGGGCGGGGTGCGGGGTGGGGGGGTTGGGGAGGGTGTGCCAGCAGTAAGCTAAGCACGTGTGTGACACCAGCATACTGTTCTTACAGGGGTCATAGGCCCCGGAAAAGCACACCCCCCCCCCTGCCGACATCTCCTTTGCGTCAGCTTGATCAGGGAGGCAAGCGGTCAGCTCCAAGCTCCTAGCCACGCCAGACGCCGCCGCTGACCGCGTTCGCTGACGTAGCGGAGCGGAGGCGGAGCTTGCCAGCTAAGGGCTTCAGTATTTTTTTACCAAGCCAGCTGGCGCTAGGGGCAACAGCAGGAACGCCGGCGAGATAGCCCGGCGGGAGCAGCGCATCCATCCCATAAATCACTGGGACGGCCCATCAACAGAGGAAATGCGAAGCGGCAGCGGATTGGTGGGTTGAGTCATGCCGGTGCAGGAACTACACGTTTGTGTATTTATTATCGTTCCGTGCTCAGACATCACTGAATGCCACAATGCAAAATTACATATTTTCCACCACTAGCATAGTCTCATTAATGGTAACCTTGACCATAAACAGACACCATATCTTGCAAGGATGTAACATATTCAGTATTTCAATGCCTTTAACACTTAATGACTTATCTGGGTGCAAATGGTGCCCCATTCTGGGTGAACGTGTCTGTCCCTCAGATCGCGTTGTTTCATTTACCCTTGTCCCAGTCAAATGCATTTTTCTAAACTATATACTTTATAAATGTAAACGCCTGAGATGAGACAAAATGCTGATTTCTTTTTCCTTCCCCTGGCGTGCTAATGCGAAAACGATGCTAATTTTATATGAATATTGAAAACAAACAAATAAAAGAGATATAATGATTTTCCTGAGGGAAAGTGCCATGCCATAAGCATTTTTTTTTCGCCTGTAATATTTGTATACTTTAATAAAAGGCAGACTCTTCCCATCTTGCTGTTGCCTATTTGAGCTTTGCGAGTGTTTGAGATTATTTACTAAAATCAGTGAAGGAACCGCAGGCTTGTTTGTTCACCACACACACACACACACACACACACACACACACAGACAAACATGTGTGTATTCATCTTTGTGGGGACTCTCCATTCACTTCTATGGGATAAACCCTAATCTCAATATGACACCCTTAACCCCCACCCAGCCCGAACCTTAACCACAAGTAACCAAACAAAATACGAGACTTTGGGTATTTTTGGTTTTTTGATTGCAGTCATACACTTCTTTAAAATTAAAAGTGGAGGGGGGGCGAGGCTGAAAAGATGGTCCACACAACATCAGAATAACAGGTTTTTATCCCATTGGGGGGCCCAAACGTAATATATACATGACCCCCCCCCCCCCACTCACACAAAACGGACAGACAGGGCAGCGTCACTGGCCACACAAAGCCATTCTCACTCTAGAACATTCCACATGTCTTCTAATTACAAGACTAGACAAAGATGACCTTCATGTTCAGGAGTCCCAACCTCATAGAGCCGCCCCCCCCCAACAGATTATTATTTTTTAAATTTTTTTTCTTTGTTTCTTTTCTTTGTTATTCCATTTCTGCACTTTATCTGCACTTTATCTGCACTTCACTACTTTTTGTGGTAATTTGCGTGTCCTTATTCCCATGACATCACCAATTTATTACTAAATTATTGTTCACTTGTTTTTGTTATGCTGTCTGGTCTATTATTGCATTGCTGTCCCAGATTGCACTGATACACACAACCTGCAATAGCGGCCTAAGAATTTTCACTGCGTTTGTCCAAACACATTGGACATCAAATCCTGTGCAGAACTGCACGATTTTGTGACTTAGTGATAACCAAAGCAAGATTATCAGAACCTTAATTCTCCCCGGTCGCCTGGATCAGGACTTGCCTAGGCTCTGTTAGGTATCTTACATGACAGGTGATCTTTAAGACAAATTCTAAATGGATCCACTACTGAGGGAATTCAAATGAGCTGATTGTTAATCCAAGTTCACTCGCACTGCGCCCTGGAGGTTGTCTTCCAGTCTTAATTAATTTGAGCGGTTAGGAGACTACTCCGAACTGCTCCAGCAGGTTTGCGTATCAGAACCAGAGCTGGATCTCACTAGGCCCATGTCTGGGGTCGTAAACGCATTATGTAATTATGCCACATTAAGTGATAACTCGACAGAATGTAACAAATTTAACGATGATAATAATAACGATGATAATGTTGATGATAATAATAATAGGGTACTATCGCAATATAAAATTATAATGTAGTCATTTGTTACATTTCGTGGTGTGATTATATAATGCAGTGTTATTACATAATGCAGTGTAATTACATACAGTAATGTGTTGTTACAGGGGTCCAGGGCTCTGTTATGAGCAGATCTGCATAACATCATCCACACTAAAATGAAAAGCAGAGTCAGTGCGAGAAACAAAGTATCTTCAGGTAGAAGAGAAACAAGCTAATTCTACAAACAAGGAAATGGCGGCACAGACATGAAACTCAAAGGTATGTTGTATAAAGTCTCGCCACTGGGGGAACAAAATTGCCACCGTATTAGAGAAGCTGTAATAGACCAATACGGGATCCGGGGCGATTGTGACTGATCCTTCGACATTTCCTTTTCATCTTTGATATTGTTTTTGTTTTGATCTGCCGCTGAAACCGCGCCGGCCAGGCGTGACTCTTCTGGTCTCCCATCACTCAGATAGGCTCAGACGACAGAGATATCGAATGGAGCCGCAGAGAGTGTGGAAACATCACACGCTGGCAGTGTGCCGGCTAAGGAAGCAGTTCAGAACATCTCGCCATGGACGGCGATCAGAGTGCCGGTTCACAACGGTCCAGGCTCCGCCATTTTATTAGGTACACCCTCGTTAATACGAACAACCTGCTCCTCCGAACAGCGATTCATGCGGCCGCGGCTGATTATATAAAATGCATAGGCATGGCGAATACATGGTGAAGAGGTTCACTCACTGTTCAGCTGAGTGTTTCTACGGCCAAGATGCACAATCTAAGTGATTTTAAACATGATGGGATTGTTGATACCGGATGTGGTGGTTCCAGCACCTCAGAAACAGTCACCGTTCTGAGATTTCCACAAAAGATTGCGTGTAGAGTTTACAGAGAATGATGCGATGAATGAAAAACAAGTAGTCAGGGGTATTTCTGTGGCTGAAAACACGTTGCTAATGAGGGAGGTCAGAGGAGAACGGCCAGACTCATTAAAGCTAACAGGAAGGCCACAAGTGCAAAAATAACAGCTTAGAACAACAGTGGTGTGTGGAACAGCTGCTCTGAACAAACAACTCAACACTTATGAGGGGGGTCCTACTTGCTACTAAGTAGGGGTACCTAATAAAGAGGCCACTAAGTGTGAGTTCATTTAATGGCGAAGCCAATTAGCAGTTATTGTTTTTGGTTTGACCGATTTACACTGTTAAACATCACAAGTGTAAGGGAATTACTGTTAGTCTTAATGGTATTTTCAGAGCAGCGATTTCGGAGCTCAAGCGAAGCACAGGTCACACAGGAAGCAGCAGAGCTTTGTCTGATTTCCCCAAGGAAGGCAGGAAATCTTCGGACAACGTGCTGTGACTTGTGCTCTAATATGGGGGATTTGTGGCCTTTTCTCACTTATATTCTCTCCAGTTCATCTTTACTGCTGCTACTGAGGGTTGGATGACGCAGAATCCAGTCCGCGTGAACGCAAAAGAAAACAAAAGAAAAAGTACAGAGACGAGAGGCACTCCGCTGGCTGTTAAAATAGTGTCCACAGATCATAACGTTTGGGATTAGATTAGGGAGGATAGTCAAGTACATTATTTCCCCGGAGGCAGGTAAGCTACTTGGTCTATAGGGATGTAAACATAAACCAAGACTAGGAGGAGGAATTAATTAAACCAGAGCAGCAAGGACACAAACTGGGATCGCATTACTACAGTACATGGCTACACTGCAATTGCTGCAATCACACGTCTTTTATTATTATTATTACTATTACTATTATTCATTTATCTGAAAGACTAGAAGGCTGCTGTTTAAAATGTCAGGCCACAAAGTGGCTCATTCCTGGAATTAAACAGCTCCATCCCACCAATTTCCTTCCTTTCTTTCAGGGGTGTCTCTCGGATAATTTATTGTGGTGGTGGGGGGGGACTATAAGTCATATAGAGGGCCGAAACTCATCATTAGCCAATGATATGCTTTGAATCGATGAGTGACGGGGATGGGGTACTTCGAGGACCAATCATCTTTCATCTGGGGCCAGTGTCCCTGTAGCCCCGCCCCTCTATATAATCCTGCAGGAGCTGAGTTTTAGCATGAATTGTAGTGGTAGTTGATGGCACGGGTAATGGGCAGAGTTAGCCACCCCTCCTATGTGTTTCTGAGCAGGCGGAATGGGATCGGACCGCAGTGCGGCCACTCGCCGCGTTTATCTGTTAGGCACGCTGCGTTATCGACGGCACGGAAGGCTGAAGCACACGGACTAATCATTTCATCACCCGGGAACTTCAGCGCGTGTGAGCTCTTCCACTAGCACTCCATTACCGATGACGGCGGGGGGGGTCGGCGGGGGAAAGGCACAGCCAATCGTGTACCGGGCTCGCCCCACCCCCACACGAGCGTAACACAGAGAGCTCTCGCCGCGCAGGACGGATGGCCGCGGCGAACGTTTTCTCGCGTCCCTCGCCCAGATCCACAGCCTCACAGATCCCGTGCTGACCGTCTGCAGCACCCCCTGCCCTCTCTCCTTCGCCCCCTCTCTGACGTCCTGTGATGGGGTTTTTCTGTAGCTCGCTGGAGGCTGGAATGATCTCCCCCGAGACTTACCCAGAGACACACATTTAACAAGCACAAGCATCCATCTGCAAGGAAACTCTTAAATCCTCCTGCTCTGTACTGAAGGGTATAAGAAAAATACTTATAAAAATACCGCGGCTTTGGTCATGACAGGTCAGTAATGACGAACTTTGCTTCTTAACACAGGATCTCTTTTCCCCCTGGTAATTACAGTTCCTTCGATTATTTTAATAAGGATGGAAAACACAAATCCTTATCTTGCTATAAAACACACTCAAATTAAAGAGACACGTTTTTCTTTGCCTTCAAACCTTCAGGTCATCAGTTCTTCCTCCGTTTCACAGGTTTCTTCCGCAAAGTATCGCCCCCTTTCAAGGATTTCCAGTTAAAAAACATCTTGAAGGGATGATAGACACCATGACACCCCTGACTAGATTCTTTCAGACAGAATTTTTATTATTCATTGCTTTAAACCCTTAATGGGACGACAGAAAAGTGACAAATTTCACTCAATTTCCCCCACAAAAAAAGGCAACTCATGGTTCTGGGAGGACAGGAAGAGAGCATGCATTCAGCAGTCCAATTAAAACCCCGTTTCTGATTCAAAGAGATGGTGGCCGGTAGACTAATGTGTCCTTAAACCCCCTGAGAAGATAACTCGGACCAATCAGCACTGTTCATCCCCGGCTTTTAATGGTTCACATAAATCAAGCCTGCATGCTGGTATTGACAGAGGGACACAGGTATCTGAAAGCAGGATTAACGCACAGCCTAATCTCGTTTTGTCTCTCTCGGCACCGTACACACGTGTAGCTGTAGCTGGGTATTGCGACGATGCATTTCTGCATGCTCTCATGCACAGAGCTAGAGTGCAGAAGCTTCGTGGGACTGGTCTATCATGCCTTCAGCCATATCAGGAGTGGCCAATCATATCGGCAAATGGCCGGTGTGTATGCAGGTTTCTGGGGTAACCTTTAGGTCAGCTGCTCAAACCCAGGTGTGAGGACTCTTCAGCCAATCAGGCCTCTAATTAGTAATCTAATTAGTGAGTTGCACCAAAAACCCGCACATCCAATGGCTCTTTCTAGATAAGATTGCCCACCTCTGTGAAGCTGCTGGACTCTGAAGCAGCGCGCCCTAGAGGTACAGTACTCCTGTGTGTGTGAGGGGGGTAGCTTCCCTCAAATAGGCTTCGAGCGGCGATGTGCTGAAGTTTGCTGCCTCAGATTCCCACCATAATCCAGACAAATGCTTCTCCACACATGCATGCATGCTGCGCACCCATCGATATAATATCGGATTTCAATAAACATAAGAATGGGGGCATAATTATTGTCTGTTTGGTTCTCGCTTTGACAGCATTGCATTTATTTTTATAACATATACTTCTATCAGCTTACAGTTATACAGATTTCTGTCGGAGGATATTTTGCCAGAGAAATTTAGGCTAAATATCCAGGTTAAAGACACAGGACTGCAAATGCAGGTTTAGAGTCCTGATCAAATCTTTAGACACTTGCAACCTGCTACTCCATCCTTACCACATCCAAGGGTTGCCTACTTTTGCAGCCTTTGTGCTAGGATTCCTATATGCTTCAGATGACAACCGTATTCACGACCAACATGGCAACCTTAATCATACCTTACGGAACAGGCCCCCCCTGACATCTTCCATTTTCTTTTTGATATTTCACAATGGCAGAGTCGCTGTCTGGGAAAGAATAGAGGCTGGTTTTGCAATCGGCGTCCGAGTGACATGTGACAACACGCCTGACAAGATGGCCTGTCCCTCCGCGGGGCCGGCAAATGCACGCAAGGGGCCGCAGCAGAATTCTGAAGAAGGTGAACTTCACGCTCGCGTAATCTCTGTCTGCGATTGGCTTCTCGCTCAGGGGAGCAAAGCCGATTGGCTGGGGTCAGAACCACTCAGGGGGCGCGGGGAAAAAAGGACAGAAGGTGGGATTTAATGAATAACAAGGAGATTGATATTTCAATCAAAAACACAAATAAAAAGTGTTTATTGAATTTTTCTTTTTTTTCCCAGAAATCTTTGCTTCAAACTTACATTTCTGTTTAGATGAATATTCTGTGTGGTAGATACTTTATATGACAAATGGAAAATGGTAAATACATGAACAGCACATGAAAATTAGCATTTAAAATTAAAACAATAAGGAAATACATGAAGGTACCTGTTTCTGAATAAGCACATTATGATTCCCTACTAATTAGTTGCTAACTCTTGGTATCATAAGAAATTTTAAGGGGAAACTCTTGCCTCTGGTGCCTTTTGATCACACAGAACTGACTTTTATTAAAACTTAACAGAAAAAACAACAGTATTTTCAGCGTCTCCTCTAGCTGGGCCCAAGGGAATTCAATTGGCAAAGTTAACTTAACGTCTAGGTTTTGTCAATGTGAACAATGTTCTCCCAAGATAACTTTTTTTCTATGTACTGTGAAGCTGAAATGTTTTATGGAAAAGGTACTGAAACTTCTTTGATGTAGTTTCAGTTAGTGCAAATTAATTATTCTGAAAAATGCAGCCGGTACAGAGGTTTTTTAATCCAAAAATGTAAGAAAAACAGTGTTTAATATTATGGCCTCAGATGTTAGTACAGAGTGTAACAGTCACCTCCATTTCTGACTCAGAGGTTAGTATAGAGTATCAGTCACCTCCATTACTGACTCAGAGGTTAGTACAGATTATCAGTCACCTCCATTACTGACTCAGAGGTTAGTATAGAGTATCAGTCACCTCCGTTACTGACTCAGAAGTTACTACAGAGTGTAACAGTCACCTCTGTAACTGCACCGCCTTCACCGGCAATATCACCTGACCAAGATGGCTGATCTGCTATAGCTGTCATCCACACATTTGTGATTTTTGACCTTTTCAGAGGTATTTTCAATTTTCCAACCACTGGATTTTTTTTCTTCTTTGAGAAAGACATTAAACCAAGTTTTATTACAACCCGATATGCTCTGCATAAATTTGATGCTGCATGAATCTGACTGATTGATTGATGGTGTTTGAAGTGCGGTGATGGTTCTGTTAAAGGGACAGATTATGTGTATACCAACAAGAAATTAGAATTATGCGAGAATCTAACATGACACTACAATCATCACATTATTACATCCGTCTAACCATCTATCCTGATTGATCAGTATCTAATCCACGCCTGTGTAATCTTGAGCCATTCCTCAGAGATGCAAAACGCGGCTATAACCTCACAAATTCCCTCCTGCAGACACAGTGCACTTTGAACTACAGAGAAATACCATCACAAATTCTACTATTTATGAATTAATTAAGAACTCATGTACTAGAATAAAATATTGACTTAGCTACAGTCAGTTTACGTAAGTGATGAAAAAAACCTTCCTAGATGTTTGTAACTGAGCTACGATCCCAGACCAATCCTGAAAGCATTCACAGGGCTGGATGTTTGAGATTAAACACTCACAGGAAATCAAGTGGCTATGCTTAAAACAAGTTTGACTGTTTGTTACCTCGGGAAGTGCGTTTGTTTTCGGTAAAGCCTCTACGGAAACGTGTATTCATTATGCCATTCAGAAAATGGCGTCTTGCTCAGGAATCTCTCAGAAAAAAGCACCATCTTACAGTCTAACAAACAGAAAAGCTGGGAGAGTTTTTGTTCTAATAGCCCGGAACAGACTCAGTTCAGTGAAGGAGATTTCTCAGTAAATGGCCTTGGAGAGCCATGGGTTTGTACTTAAAGAGGGAGGCCAGGAAGGGGCGGGTAATTTACAGAGCAGCTGGAGCAGAAATAGCTGTCATAGTTACAACTCAGACGGCCGTCTGTCAGGCACGGCGAGAATCGCGACAGGTTGCCCCCAGTGGCCATTCTAGGATTATCGGTATCATACCTCTAACACGGCCGTCTGGCTTATATTAAGCAACACCTGTCGGCTACGAATGTCGGCATCAACCTCTGGCTGAGATGAGCCTCGTTCAGACATAGTTGATGCTATTTCGTCTGTTTCGGCTGTTGTTGATCTGAGACATAAACCCTTTGTGCTTTGGCCAAGTGTGTTTTGACTCTGTTCTATTAAACAATCTGATGAATGTGTGAGCAAAAAAAAAATCTGTTAAACCTGTCGTCTCGCTAATTATTCCTGCTTCAGTAGCATTTAATATTTAATACGACGTCACAGTTTGTTAGCAATTGTTTTATCCTACATTATTTATTCAGTCGAGCGGGTTGTTGCCTGCATATATCGTGTGCCTACAATTTCTACTCCAGGCAAATTTATGCCAGTTCCAAAATCCTATAAAAATCTGTGATAACTTGAGGAGGAGAATGACGACTGACATAGATGAGAAAAACAGTCAGCATAGTATTTATTTTTGACAAAGATGGCAGTGATGCTCACACTGCATGTCCGTTATGCAGACCATCAGACGGAGGAACTGGCGCAGACATACGCAGTGCAGTCTCATTATCAGAAAACTGTAACACGTTGGGGTAATCTAGATTAAGAGTTTACAAATGCAAAGTGAAGCGATATCTACATTTTACATTAATTTATTTTAACAGATACTTTTATTCAACGTAAAGCATGCTTGAGAATGCAAGGGTAGCCTGTCACTTGGGGTTAGGGGCCTTGTTAAAGGGCTCAGTAGTGAAATCACTCTACTTACCAAGGTATTCAACAAGTGACCTTCTGATCATGACCACAGGGCTCTATCCCAATGAGCCACACACTGCTTGCCTTGAAAAATGTGTGTCGAGTGGAATTAAAATGTGGGGGGAGGGCGACACCCATCACCTAAAGGGTTCCAAGGACCAAATGTGACTGAGAATGATGTCATGGGGTAGCAGGTGAGACACAATGTTTTTTAAGGACATTATGAAAGATTTACACATAACACCCATGGACACCCATGCACAACTCACACAGCATCAAAAGCAGCAACGCGTCAAATTGAAGATAACTCAAAGATACTGCTCAATATTAATCAATCAAACAATACAGTATTGAATGTCAAAGCATTAATTAGAATCAATAAGGCAGGAAATAAAACGTCACAGTGCGGTTTGTGTGATGGAACCTAAACTCCAGTGGCAACTAAACTCACAGCGAATCTTCAGTTTTCAAAGAACTTAAAGCCTCTGCAGTATAGTCTGATCTTCTCGTTAGATTGTCCCCTTTTTCAAATTCGACCAGCCCCTGTCTACCGTATCTCCATATTTGTGTCCCAAGGTCATCATCCCTTATGGCCCCGAGAAGAGCCTCTCCCTAAATGACAACTTATCTTGATATTCCTCCATATTTCACATTGTTTGTTCATTCATCACCATGTGTTCTTCCCCTGGGCATCTTCACCCTTAAAATACCTGTTGATAAATAGCCTGATTACATGCTTATTACCACGGCAGTCCCAGTATCCTTGGCTATTTGCCCCTTTATCAGAAAATCATTCAGTGCAATTCGACCAGCCCCAAGACTTATTCAATTGTCTTTTTCAAATATTTATGCAAATCAGACTCGACACCATGACAGAAATGCACATCCAGGAATGCTAGCCAACACACCCTGGGAATACTGATCAGTTCAGCCATTATTGATTCTTATAAACCGTTAATAACTGTGTAATTTAGTGTCACTATCAGCTCAGTATGTATTTGGCATATGAGGGATATTTTTTAGATAGATAGATAGATAGATAGATAGATAGATAGATAGATAGATTTGTTTTTGCACATGATTTTCAAAGTACATTATTGTAATAAAGTTGATCGTTAAATCCTTAACAAAACAGCACATTATGATCTTTTGGCCTGTTGGCCAAAGCTAAAATTCTGTCTTCCTTTGTCTCACTTTCTGGTTTGCAGATACAGCTGCACGGGATTAAGATGAAACCTAAATTTCCCACCCTCTTCCACATTCCAATGCTATACCGCGATAAGCACATTCACACTTATTCTGACCTTACTTTGCCCAGGTGAAATATTTGATTTCAGATCTAATCAGGGCTTCTGCCTACATATCGTGTTCCAAAGCCCACTGCAGCACAATAAGTCAGACCTCCAGATCCAGTTCCAGTGGAAAGCAAGATAATGATATTAAAGATCACAGAGTGAAAATATACCCCACGTTATATTGATCAAATTACTGGGCAGTAGCTGGTCCAGGGTCTAGACAAAAGTCCCTTCTTTAATTAATCATTCCTGATAACGGTCTCATGAATAACGCTCCGACTGAAGAGTGCTGAAGATGTCGAACATGTGAGTCCCCATGCTTACCTCGATTGCTAAGGTTAATTACTAAAGTTAACTGTTTGCAGTAGTTTGAGACTTAGAAATATGGGTTGTTCTGCTTGAGTATAACATAAAGGATGTGTCAATAAAAAAAGCTAATCACTTTAATGGACAATGAGGAATGAGGTCTAAGAGAGATGCTGAAGAACATTTGTTAAAGGGTTAACGTAAGATACATAAGAAACATAATGCTGCAGCACACTTTCACCAACACAGTGACAATCAGGCGGTGTTTTGGTGCCTGGCTTGTGTACTGTATATTGTCGGGTATATTACTGATGTGCGATGTGTGTCATTTATTCAGAGTATCGACATAATCATGAAACCAACTTTAACTAAAACATCAAATGACCAGAATAACCAGAATCTCTAAGTGCTTTTCTGTGCCACCAGAACACGTATTCACTCACCAGGGGCAGATTTGTGGGTGGCCCTAGTAAACACACGTCCACCCCAGGCAGTACTTCCCCCCCCAAAAAAAATAAAAACCAAATCTCAAGCATTTACAGTAATTCTGATGACAAAATGGCAAAATATTACCTCATTGCTACTGCATTAAAATCATTGAATTTAGTCTGGCCACTCCATTCTACAAGGTTTGGCTCCACCCCTGTCACTCACTCTA